TAGGTGTGGCACCTCCTGGAACTAGAGTTACAGCTCTGCATGCCATGTGGATGCTGGGAACCAAACCTGGGAACTCCACAAGCACAGCCAATGCTTTTAACTGCTGAGCCATCTCTCCAGACCCCAGAGATCCCAGTTTTAAAAGCAGAGCACATTTCTAGAGTGCACTGGCATGGGAAAGGAAAGAACAGCCCACTCTAGGTGGGACTTGTTTCTGCTTGATCTTGGACAACCAGCCTCCTGACATGAAAGCAAGGCTGTGTCCCCTACCCCCTCAACTGCCTTCTCTCCTGGGCATCCACGAGCCATTATGATTTTCCAATATAAAGTTTGCCTACTTGTCAGGCGTACACTATACATGCAGCCTTACAAAACTTAAATCTAGCGTGTGAGTATGTATTTCCACCCTCTCAGACTTCATACAAGTAACATGGAGGGGCATGGTCAGTAAAGCGCCTGCTTACAAACATGAGCCCTGAGTCTGCAACCCCACAGCATCCATGCAAAAGCAGGGCATGATGGCATGCATCTGTAACTTCAGCTGGGGGTAGAGGGAAGGAGACAGGTAAGGCTCTGGAGCTTGGGGCCAGCCAGTCTATCAGTTAGTAAGCCCTGGGTTTAATGAGAGATCCTGTCTCAAAAAACAAGATGAAGAGCAGTTGAAGAAGACACTTGATACTGACCTCTGGCCTCTGCACACACATGGACACACAGAAAGACACACACCGTAAATAAGTAAATAAAAAATGATGAATGAATAAATAATATTTTTAGAAAATGAAATGTGACAATAGTAAAGTATAATTTTTCAATAAACTCATGGGAAGAAATAATTTTTCCCTAGCCAAGCCAGTCCCTTAAGGATCAAGGCTGTAGAAAATCAGATCTAATGGTTTTCTCCAGTGGAGTGACACTTAGTATATCAACCACTCCAGGGCAGGCCTCATGTTCAGGAGTAGTTGACCAACACATAATGGACTCCACAGTTTTTTTTTTTTGTTGTTGTTTTTTTGTTTTGTTTTGTTTTGTTTTTTTAGTGTGTGCTATTATTTGGTTACAGTTTGGTGGGGGGTGTTTTTTTCTGTTTGGGTGTTCTTTTATGTAGTCAGAATGTTTCTCTGGTCCCACCAGGCCCCCACAGTCCCATGACCCACTTGTAAAATAATCACTCAGAAGCTTATATTAATTATAACTGCTTGGCCATTAGCTCAGGCTTATTACTGACTAGCTCTCACACTTAAATTAACCCATAATTCTTATTTATGTTTATACACGTGGCTTGGTACCTTTTCTCAGTTCTGCCTTGTCATTTTGCTTCCTCTGTGCCTGGCTGGCGACTCCTGACTCAGCCTTTTCTCTTCCCAGAATTCCCCTTGTCTGCTCACCCCACCTATACTTCCTGCCTGGCTACTGGTCAATCAGTGTTTTATTTATCAACCAATCAGAGCAACACATATTCATAGCATACAGAACAACATCCCACAGCAATTTTATTTTATTTTTTTTGGTTTGGATGGTTTGTTGTTATACTGGGTGTTTGTTTGTTGTTTTTGAGAAAGAACTTAAAGTAGGGAGGAGGAGAGGATCTGGAAAGACTTGGGAGAGGGGAAGAATATGATCAAAATGTAATTTAAAATAAATAATTTTAAAAATAGAACAGCAGATTTAAATGTGCAAGTACCCTGGGAATTTGTTAGCCAATGAGGAATCTACCACAGAAGGAGTTTCTTTCCCCTAAGGTGTGACTTTAAACCCAATAAAACTGCTGGTTAGTGTTTGGTGTAACTGTGCTTGTGAATGTGTGTAATCGTGAGATAGATCTGGATGAGAGAGCACCACACAGTTGAGGCTTGTTCCACATAAGCAGAAACTATGCGGCCGTACATAAGGGAGAGAATGGAGACAGTAGACGGACAGACGGAGGTGTGACAGTCAATCCAGAGGCCGCAGGCAAAAATTAAGAAATTAGTAAAACCAAAATATCAAATGATGAGCTTAATAATCAGGTGATTTAAACACAGAAATAACCAGAAAACATGTTTTCAAAATATGACCAAGCTGAGATGAATAAACCAGCAATACAAGGAAGTAAGAGTGAGCTCTGCTCACCTCTGAAATGAAAAGATCAGGGCCAGCGTGTGCTAGATGAGTGCTCTACCACTGAGCTACAACCCCGGCCCCTTTTTACTCTTTATTTTGAGATGAGGTCTCACTGAGCTACCGTGGTTGGCACCTGTCACCCAGACAGGGCTTGAATTTAGGATTACAGATCTGCGTCACCAGGTCGTTTAAACAAACGCTTTCAATTTGGCCCACAAAGCCAGACAATCAATGTGTTACCAGAGGGGACGCAGTGATTCCGAGAGTCCAAACGAAAGGGTTGCCTTAAGGACGCAGAACTTACGGCCCTAGAGTGGAAGATCCCCAAGACCACTGCACATTCCGTGACTTGGTAGGAGACCTCGGGAACTCAGGGTGGAGTTGTGTTCACAGCTGGGATTTTAACACAGTGAAAGGATGGAGACCCCGGGAACTCAGGGTGGAGTTGTGTTCACAGCTGTGATTTTAACACAGTGAAAGGATGGAGACCCCCGGAACTCGGGGTGGAGTTGTGTTCACAGCTGGGATTTTAACACAGTGAAAGGATGGAGACCCCCGGAACTCAGGGTGGAGTTGTGTTCACAGCTGTGATTTAACACTGTGGGAGCATGGAGAGTGAGGGCTTGTACAGCAGGAAATAAAATCCCGGGGACGGAGCACAGGCCCCCCGGGCCGGCTCCCCTGGAGAGTAGTGTGCTCACAGCTGTGATTTACAGGGGCACTTGATCCCTTCTGCAACCAGCGGCAGCTAGGACCCCTGAAACAGTGTCTAGCAGGAATGCTGCTTAGCTTCTCGAACCCAGGTTCCTGCCGAGTCTCACCGCAAAGGCATGGGCCAAACTGCTAGACTCCTCCAAGGGAGAGCAGATGTTCAGCATAAGCCACGTGTTTTCCCATGTGCCGCGCTTCCCAGATAAGCGATGACAGAGTCCTTTCTGAAACTCGGGTTTTCTGGTATCGAACAAAGGCCGTCGTTGCAGGCAGACCTTTCTGAGGACAGCCGTGTCTGGTCTACCACATGAACCCCAACGCCAGACAGAGGAGTGTTTAAGTCAATGAACACGAATGGTCAGCTTTTTAAAAACCCACAATTTGTGATGAAATATAAACGTATGTGTACCACAGATGTCAGGAGACTCTCTCATGAGGCTAAGAGGCCGACTAAAACAAACGGAACATAAATAAAAATAATGTAAATCAAATACCTTAACATACCATTCCCATCATAAGGAAGGCCAAGCAAGAATGGAGAAGGCCTAATCAACACAGTTAGAGTGAAAAGAAATGATGATCATTAAAACAAACACACAAATAAACCAAAGGCTTTGAAAGCTCTGAGACTAGTGTGGAGATGTTGATCAAATTGAATTTGAATATTTAGAGGACACGTGTTTGCCGTTACTAGCCACACATAGAAACCTCGCCATAGAGAAAGTTGTCCGTTACAGAAAGCTCTGGGCCCCGGTGACTTGGTAGGGGAATATTATGAGCTCTCCAAAGACCATTACACTCTCATCCTCCTCTGCCCCCGCCCCCAAGACCTTTTCCTCCCCTTCTAGGGTTCCTTTTAGTTTATATGCACACATATGAAGTTAGGTCTAGTTTCTGCAAGTGAGAGAAACAAATGGTCTTTGTCTTTCTTAGTCTGGCCTATTGGGGGTGGGGAGGACACATGTCACGTGAGGGCAGGAGGAGGGACTACTGGGGAAGCCGAGGATTAGTAAAGATGGGGAGGAAGAAAGGTCAGTGCGGGAGGAAGTAGAATGGAGCCTAATGGCACCCACGTATAACACGTGTAACAAACTCACCACTTCGTGTGAGGTGGGAAACAATTTCCAAGGACCAAGTGTTCACAATGCTACAGAAGTTGTTCTAGAATACAAGAAATGCTTAAAGGAAAAAAGCCTCCACTCAGAATAACAAAAAGAGGGTAATATAAACAGTGATAACCCAATGAGAAATATTAAAGACACACACGTGAGCATAGAAAACTTCAGAGATTTTGTGGAGAACACCAGCTAGAATTGAAAGAGCATTCTTAGATGGGATAGCAAAGTATAATGAGGATGTCCTTCGACCCAAAGAAGCAGACAAATTTATAATCAATCTGGTAAGTTAAAACCTGGAAAGAAAAAGTCTTTGAAAGACAGTATGCTTACTTTGTATTAAATATAAATAATACTCTAGTGTTAAAAGGGTCAGGTACTGCCTCATGAACAGATATCAGATTAGTAGACTAAAAAAACAAGAAGTCAGGAAATAAACTCCAATATACGATATACAGAGATTTATCAAATTCAAAGCACAGTAGCAGAAGTCACTGAAACACATACAGACTGTTCATTAGATGGGGCTTGACCATGGGCTAGCCATGCGAACACTTAGGCCTGGATCCTACATTGTACACACTAACACATGAGTCAGCTAAAATATTTAAAATATGGAAGTTAGAAGAGGAAAGGTGGCCATTGGAGGCAAAGTAAATGTGTATACATGTGTATAAAAAATCATAATAAAGCCATCATTTTGTATTATGAACCTGTACTAATAAACTCATCAGAAAAATGAATTCAAGAGATCTAATGTGCCTCGGAGTAACTGAAGTTAATATTAATATAGCATTCACTTGAAAATTCCTGGAGTTTGTTTTTAACTGTCCTTACCAAATAATTAAAGGAAATTCACATTTACTATATCACTTTAGCAACTATGCAGTGCATACACAAATCAAAACATACTTCATACCACAAACATGTGCAATTGTATGTAAATTTAAAAACAAAATATTCTTTAATACACACAAAAAGAATGTGTTAATCAGGTATATTGAAGTAAAATAATATTATGTAAGTAGAACCAAAAAGGAGTCATTTCTTCTATAATGTTATTCACAAGAAAAGGTCATTTAACTCTGATTCAAACTCCAGATGCACTAGGGGCTGGAGAGATGGCTCAGTGGTCAGAAGAATTTGCTCTTCTTTCAGATGATCGGAGTTCAGTTCCAAACACCCATACATGGGGACTCACAATCACCTGGAGCCATAGTTCCAGAGGATCCCACTTGCCTCTGAAGACACCCACAGAAACACACACACACACTTTTAACTAAAATTAAAATAAAATACTTAATTAAAAATAAATATTAATTATAAATAAATATTTAAAAACCCAGATACACTCAGAGAACAAATGAATAAACTTGATGGCCTAAGTTTTTAAATGCAAGGGAAGAAATCTCACAAAAGAGAAGTATATTTGCAAACTAGAATCTATTTATGTCATTGCTCCCAGCTTCTGAATGCTTGAAGAAACTTTGTTCTGGAGACAGAGGGGAGACTGCAACCAGGAGGGAAAATGGTCAAAGTCTAGGCAGAAATTTGACCAAAAGTTATCAGCCAACCAGAGATACTCTTCACCACCCATCAGCTAAATGCAAATTCAAAGAAAACTGGAGTATCATTTTTCAACTAACATACGTTAGTAAAATTTTAAAAATGTGTTAAAACATCCCATGGGCTAACCTGTGGGGAAACAGACACCCCACACTTAACTCTGGGAATTTGGAGAATAAAGGAGAATTTGCAGTATGTGAAAAAAAAAAACTGTATGTGCGTTTTCTTTTT